GGCGGGGGGCAGAATTGATGCGACATGATGGGGATGTGATTGGTACGCTCCAATCTCATGATGATCTTGATTGAGAAGTGCGATCTCAGTTGAGATATTTATCTCGGTAGAGATGATAATCTCAGTTAAGATGGTGATCTTGGTTAACATGATGATTTCAGTTGAGATGTTGATCTTGGTTGAGATGTTGAATTTGAATGGGGGCAGAACTTGTTTATTCTCGATTTCTGATGAGTTGATACTAGAATCTTGATGTTCTTAAACTAGCAAGTCATGATCTCTGCTAGCAGTGCGATCTCTGTCGAGATATTGGACCTAGATGAAATGAAACATGATGGTTCATGGTTCTTGGTTCTTGATTCTTGATTCTTGATTCTTGATGAGTGGACATTTGAGTCCTTGTTTCTTAGTGCCAACGAGTCACGATCTCAGTCGGGGAAGTACATGTATAGGTTCCATCACCTCAGTTTGTCGAGGTAAGAGAACCTAGGGGACAGTTGTGGGGACATATTTTTAGGTAGTCCATGTGGCCGAGATTGTTAGCCGAGGTGCCACATGGGCGGACTATGGTGTTGAGATATGGTGCGATAATATCAGAATTCGAGATATTTGGATAGAGGACTAGAGTCCTAAATGACATCAAGCTACCTATTTGAATAGAGATGAGACTCTTGAGGGAGTTCATCTTAATATGAATAGTGTGAGTTGTGATAAATGTTATCCTTGTAAGGGATAGTGTCCTATGAAGTAAGACTTCTAGGGGAAGTTGGACACCGATCATTATAAAAGTAAGGCACCCTCGTGGGTCTAAGGTATGCTTTATTTGAGATGCTTTTATGCTTTCATTGTTGAAGTTTAAGTACTTATATTGATATCTGTGAGAGATAAGATTACTGACTTGATCGTCGGAGTGCCCCCGGGTGGACGAACCACCGCGGTATTCTCATATTCTTGTTGGCAGGTGTTTGGGCTTAATCTATTCTGCCGGTCCTCTCCAGCTGAGTTCCCCATTTGGTTGTGTGGTTGGAAATCAACACCTACAAATCTAAACAAATTTTATTATAGATTTACTGAATAGGCAATTGCAAAACCCTTCTTAAAAGTAATGAAGAAGAGACAACAATTAGTATGTCTTAAAAAGTCCCTAGAGAAACACACACACACACATAAGGGTATGATAGTAATTTCAATTTGGGACGGAAATAGGGAAGGGGCCAAGGACAGGCTGGGGCTGGGGCTGGGGCTGGGGCTGGGGTGGAAGAACCTATCACCAGCCTCGGCTCGAAAGTTGTCAGGGATTCATTTTCGAATACCATCCTCGGCTTGTCAGGGGTATTTTGGGGGAAAAACCATTCTAATCGGGGTTGGAGAGCTGGGTCCTCGTTGGATCTCGTTCAAATTGCCATCCCTACTTTTGAATTCGTTTTGCCATTGTTTTCCCCCGGTCCAAGATTTGGAGTGAATAGTGTTGTCTAGACTGGCGCACTACAGTCTACGAAATCTGTTTTGATAATTCGAGTAATTTATTTTATAAAATCTTGTGTGTATATTATTTTTTTAAAAAAGGAGATTGATTTGATAATTATTGTCTATTCTATTTATGGTATTTATTTAAAAAAAAATAAATGATAAATTTATTTTTAAAAATAGATCATTTATTTTTTAGTGATAAACATAATGAATTAAATAGGTTATAATTATTTAATCGACTTAAACTTGTTTTTATAGATAATATACATGAAAGTTCGTACAAAATAAACGATTTAAATTATTAAAACGAGACCTGTAATAAGTCTTACATACCCAAACAACTCCATCCAATTTAGCTCATGACTAGAGGCAATCTAGTCCCCTCAAAAAAATTACATTGCAAATGTAGAAAACGACTTATACCAAACACAAAATAGACTTTTTAAGGGTGTAGATTTAGGTGTCGTTTGGTTTTGGCTTTTTTAGTTAATTTTTTGAATTTTTTGACTTTATTAGCTTAGGACTTTTTTAGTCGTTTGGTATTCTTGTTTGGCTTTTTTGACTTTTTTACTTTAGAATGACAAAATTACCCTTAGTATAGAATGATGTTTTTTTGACTTTTTGTTTGTATATGGGGTAGTTTGGTACTTTTGTAACTTTTTTATCTTTTTGTGATTTTGTAATTTTTTTTTAATCTTTTGTGATTATATAACCCATAATGAAAACCAAACGAAGGCTTAGGCCTCGTTTGGCGACTTACATTTTTAGCTAAAAAATCAAAAAGTTACTAAAAAAGCCAAAAAGTCTATAAATTTCACCCTACACACCTATGTACAGTATCTTCACGTGATGGGTGGCAGATGCGGTGTAAAAAGACCGTTTTGCCCATCCTTGATTTTCGTTATTCCGTTTTCACCCTCCCTTTATGTCAAACACTGATGGGAATCATTTCAGAGCTACGAATCATTTCAGAGCTATTATCAGAGAGGGTGTACTACCTTCAGCTATTCAGCTACATCAACATGAAGAGGGTTCTTCGTTCAACGCCAGAAGATAGTAGAAGCTCTGATCTGAAGAGAAAGAAAAACGAAGCGACGACGACAGTCCGCGAAGGCCAACGGAGAAGCAGTCCATCCCCCGACGATTCCCCCAGCCGCAGGTAGGCTGTTCTTCGTTCTCTCTCTCTCTCTCTCTCTCTCTCTCTCTCTCTCTCTCTTTCTCTCTTTCTTCAGCATCTCTTGTTTCTATTTCGGAATGTAACCATGATGCGTATGGTCTGTTTGTGATATATGTATGAACTCTGTCTCTCTCTGTCTCTCTCTCTCTCTCTCTCTGTTGCGCTGTGTCTATGTGTGTGTGTCTCGTGCTTTGTCTGACCACTTCCATATTTCAATCTGTCGGTGGAATTCAGATTTGGGCAATATTTTCAGGAACTACCCTGCACACTGCCATGTTTGGGGTTATAGGGCTTCCTTTGAACTACAGACACCACTTTACAAATTAGCGGGTTTTGGGTGGTGGGGGGTGTGGATCTAATAACCATGACTTGTATGCTCTGTTTTTTGTATATGGATGAACTCTGTCTCTGTATGTGTGTGTGTGTGTGTGTGTGCGTGTTTGTGTCTGTGTCTGTGTGTGTGTGTGTGTGTGTGCGCGTGTCTCACCACTTGCCAATTTCAATTTGTCTTCTACAAAAAATTTCCTTTTCGTTTGCTCTTTGTTTGTCTCCCCTAAAAAAATTTGTCTCACCACTTTCCTTTTCCGCTTTCAATTTGTCTCACCACTTGCACTTGTAAACTTTATTTTTATATCTATGCCATAGTTTATTTTCATGATTGAACAAACCAATTACTTTTAAATTTATCTTTTAATTTGCTCTTTGTTAAGTGTTGGGTCTTCTGTTAAGGTTGCATGGCTTTACTCTTTTCTGTTTGAGAAAAAAAGTATGGGGCCTCTTTCAAATTGGGGCCTACAGCCACTGCTTCAATGGCTTAGGCCTTGAGGCCTAAAGTTTTTTAGCATTGTGATTCATGATGAGAGCATGTAATGAAGTAAATACATTATAAATCCGATAGTTCTTAAATCACCAACCATAATAGTTTCTAAATACTTGATCTTCAAGCAAGAATTGACTCATGTGCACAGTATAGGATTATGGAATGGGATTGGAATGGTTTAATTTTGTGTGATGAATCACACCATGACAACCAATCTAATTAGTCATTCAGAAACCATGGATATCAGATCCATGTGCTCTCATATGCACAAACTTTATTTTAAAATTTTTGTGGTCTTTAGGATTTCCTGAAAAATAGGGATACATTATTTATATATGGTAAGGATTAAAATGTTTTTTGTGATGTCGGAATCCTAAAATTAATAACTTTTTAATGAATCTTTTGATTAAGGTAAATTAGGAGACAGTGAGTTCAAAATTTAAGATGTACTAGCCAAACACATTGATTTTCTGAGAAATTGTAGCACTATTTTACTTATTTGAGATGTACTAGCCAAACACATTACATTTTAGCCTTCCCTTGACTGCATAACATGGATTTATTGCATTGCATGATGTTTGAGTGATCAACCACTTTTGGTAATATCCTGGAGAGTTTGGTATATTATCCTTTTCAAGTTGATTTTTTTATTTGTTAATATATACATATTTGGTTAAAAAAAGGGGTGTCCATTGGTATTCTGGAATTTAAATGTGATGTGGGGAGGGTTTGTTCCATTTTGTTACCCATTTTCATATAACAAATTTATGTCCTTAACAAAAGTGTCACACCCATTGACCTACTCTTGTTGTGCTTGTCATGTCCCGAAAAAAGTCACGAAAGAAACCATGGCCTCATATATGTCAACTTCCACATCAGCACAACCAGCCCGTATGTGTGCATGTGGGTACGGGCACTGTGTTGTAAAGATTTCCCGTTCTGCAAGAAACCCTGGTCGTGCGTACTACCAGTGCCCTCGTGGAGTGGTGAGTACAAGCACGTTTCCTTTTACATTTCCTTCTTAAACCGTCACTAATGTTTTTTTTTAACCTCAACCATGTGTCAGTTGGATTGGGTGGTGTGACGAATTTGGGCGCCAAAGGGCAGCTGAGAATGACACACAGAATGTCGCTCGTTTTCAGGGTCGTTTCCGTGACATTGAACAAACTTTGCGTGTGCTTACAGTAGTGACATGTGTCCTTTGCATCGTCGTCATTATTTTGCTATTTCGGATGTGATATATGTAACCATGGTAGCAACCGTACCCTAATTTTGTTAAGCGCATTATGGTTTGTGGCTGAAAAAAAATTATGAATGTATGTTTTGTTCGTAAACATGTATTTTATATCTAATTCCGCTACTGTTTGTTTTTGTTTCAAGTACTAATGTCTTTAAATGAATCTATTGGGCTATGTTTTCTGTCTAATACCACATTTCTGACATAAAAACGTGTCCCTCATATTGGTAATATGCACAATTGTTAGTGTATACATATTTTTATGTTGGTTCCCATGTCACGCTATTGTTAGTCGCATGGCGTCACATCGATCTACACCTCGTACCCCTTCCGGCAAAGGGAAATGCCAACAACCCTATCATAAAGCAACTTGGGATGGGGAGTCGACACGGATTTTGTTGGAACTGGTTGTGAAGGAAATTGAAGCAGGAAATCGGCCACACATGTCAATCACTCCAAACGGGTACCGTTCGTTGTCTAAGACATTTGAGGCAGTGACTGGGCGGCTGCATTCCCTTAAACAACTTAAAAACAAGTACAATCTGTTGAAGACCGAGTGGCGTGCGTGGTGTAAGCTAATGGATTGCCGGAAAGGACCAACTGGAATTGGCTTTGACCAAGTAACTGGGTTGTTCAATGCTTCGGCTGATTGGTGGGCTAAAATGGAAAAGTTAACAGTTTACATTTTCTTTTTCATGTCCGTTATTGCATAACTAATATCTCAATTTTTGTATGTGTATCATGCTTTCCAGTGTAGTTTAAAACGTTCAATTTTCTAACTTTACCTAACATGGCATGCTGTGGTTTGGATTACGAAATATTTTTGGGATGGTGAACAGGTTTTATTTGTAATGTACCTATCTGTCTCAGCACAAAATTCTGGAATTCTGAATTTCTGAAATGAAATTATGTTTGTTAATGTTAATGAAATTCTGAAATTCTGAAATCAGATGAAGAAATTCTGAATTGAAATGAATTCTGGAATTTTGGAATTTATTCCTTGGACCATCTATCAGCCTTCTGAAATGAAAAGAATTCTTAAATTCTGAATTATGTCTATTATAAATTTTGTCTGTTAATTGTTTGTTTTATGTTGACATGCCTACCTTCTATCAGCCTTTTCTCGTTTTTCTGAAGCATATTTGAAGGCAGTGGAAAATTCTTGTTTCTGAAAAAGAATTCTGAAGCATATTTAACAAATATTCTGAAGCATATTTCATTCCAGCAGTCAAAATTTCTTATTTTCTGAATTTTTGAAGTCATAAGAATTATGTTTGTTAATGTTAATGAAATTCTGAAATTAGGAAATCAAATGAAATCTGAAATTCTGAATTTGAAATGAATTCTGAAATTCTGGAATGAAATCGTTGGACTGAAATGAATTCTTGTTTCTAAAAAAGAATTCTGAAATCAAATGAAATTTGAAATTTTGGACTGAAATGAATTCTGAAATATTACTTGGCCTACAATCCTGATAAATTCTGAAATCTGAAATAAATTCTGGACAAAGAGTTCTGGACTGAAATTTCTTTTCTCAGATTTTTATTCTGTAAAGAGTTGGCCTAGGTTTGTTGGTGTGGTTTGATGCCACTATTCTCCTTATGCTGTTCCTCATGCACTAATTTCTTTCTTTGTTATATTTTTATGTCTGTAAATATTTGGAAAACATCAATAAATTGGTGTTAGCTCACTTTCCATATGAAGTAGGTTGAAGACCCAAAACATAAGGACTTGTTGTATAACAAAAACCATTTATTTCTGGCACACAATTTTGTAACAGTATGACCAAATTTACCTGCTCTTGTTTTCCAGATTCGTAATGCAATGATCTTTCTTTATAAGTGTTAACATTGTGGTACAGGGTAGTCTATTGAACAAAGGGGGGGGGGTTGTATATGCATATTTGAATTTTGGGGCAGTTTGTCGAGTGAGAAATATCGGTTGGTTTTGAGAACTAATTAGCTACTATTTATTGGATTGGTTGTCACATGTTTATTCATTCAATTGGCAAACATAAAATTTCTTATATAGCTTCAAAAGCTGTTTAGTTGAGTCCTTCATATAGTAAAATAGAATAGATGTTTTTTCTTCTAGGGAGAAGCACTACATTGTTATGTTGTTCTTCACTTTTATTGAAAATAAATTCGGCTTCTTTTTCCTTGATTGGTAGCAATCATCATACTTTACAACATTCTTGTTCTTTTTTGTCAATATGTTCATTGCAACATACTTTACATTACTGTCAGCCATTGTTGTAGCATTAACAAACTTTACTGATTTATGCACCATGTTGCATTGCTTTTTACTCAATGACAGTACACTAATGCTAGTTACATTGTGTTAATTTACAGATTGACAATGTATGTTGCAAGTTCAGAACCAAAACCTTGGACCATTCGGACTTGATGAAGCGCGTCTTCACTGGCGCTACGGCTACGGGGAAAAATGCATGGACACCCGGCAAGACTCGTAACCCAATGGAGTTGGACGGAGAGTCGGACAGTCCAGAATTTTCAAGTGACAGCAATGACTTAGGCGCATCGGAAATGGCAGCCATGATGAACTCCGCGCACATCAATGCCACGGGTAATGGAAGTAAGCGGAAGCATTCCTCGGGGAAAGCATTGCAAAACAAGCGCATTACGGGAGCTGAAGCGTTGGCAAGCAGCATGGACGACTTGCTAAATTCTGTGAAGACTCAGAGCAAGGAATTAACTGTCAACCACGTCGTCGGGGGCCACAGTATTACTATGGGACAGGCTGTTGGACGGCTGTATGAAATATAGGGACTAGAGCCTGAAGATGAACTTCTCCATTTTGGAGTCATGCTTATGGAGGTTCCGAACAATCGGGAAATGGTAATGAGTATTCCCACGGACCGAGGCATAATCGGGTGGCTACGAGCGAAGAAACAAGACAAAGATAGGAGTGGGGGTGTCACTCTTGCGAGTTTGCTGCGGGATGAAGGAGTTCGATTTTAAATCTGCTGAATGAAGGACTTTGATTTTAATTTCAGTTGAATTCTGAACTTTTTTTTTTTCCTTTGTTGTGTTTAATTTTAGTTGAATTGTGGTTTGAAGATGGTTTGGGCATGGGTCGTGCCTGTGGCTTACGGAACCTTAACTGGACAGTCGGGATATGTTTGTGGTATTTTATGTTTTGTTATGCTATAATGGCTGCAGGGTTGGATTAAAACTTGGACCATCTATTTTATATTTTATGTTTTGTTATGGTATAATGGTTGCAGGGAAGTGTTTAATTTTCTGAATTGTTTATGTATTGCCCAGGTGCCATTGGTGTTCCACGAATTGTTTATATAGGGTGGAACATGTGTGTTGCCCGAATTGTTTATATAAGCTGCCTGAATTGTTTGTATAGGCTGGAACATGTGTGTTGCAACACTTAAAAATAATAATTTTTATTACAAATGATGAACCACTGACATGATGCGAATTATGAAAATCTCATGTTCCTTTCAATTTTAAATTACAAAGTATTGCATATGCCTTTAATTTTAGAAAAGAAAAGTTAACTGAAATAATTATTTTTTTCAGCTTGTTCTTTATGCCATGCATGGTAGGGGTTTGAACATAAATATACACTAGTTACTTCATTTTGTTGTACAACAATTTTTTTTTTAAAACTTTCATGGTCAAACACATGTGCTTGATACTTCTTCATTTCGGCAGTTGTTGATAATGTTTTATGCTTGTATGTTGTAGGTATGAACAACGACGATGACGACCCCACACGGATGGATGAAATGTTAGAAGGGGTCGCAGCTCTCGCAAGACAGTGGCATGAGCAGATGAATTTAAATTACATTGAAGCCTACAGAATTGCAACTGATTACTACAAGGCGTACGTCCTTAAAGTTCCATGCCGTACTTCCATATTGTCGGGGAGGGCCTGGATTACGGAATTATACGAGGGTCACAATGGCCGCTTCCGGTACGAATTGTGCATGCCCAAACAGGTGTTCCTTCGGTTATGTACGACGTTGGTAAATGACTTCGGGTTACGTGTACTCGAGCGGCCGCACGGCTTGCATGTCGAGGAGAGTGTTGCAATATTTATTCATGTGCTAAAAAACTTGCCAAACCGGGAGTTACAAGAACGGTTCCAACATTCCGGTGAAACTATTTCACGGCACTTTCATACCATCTTGAAAGCAATGAAAAAATTCACGGTTGTTCACTGCAGGCCCCCTGCTAATTTCCAGACGCACAGGGATCCTATTTTGCAATCTCAAAGACAATATTTGCCGTTCAAGGTGTGGGAAAAGATTTGTAACGTTATTCAAAATTATTTGAAAAAACATGGTCGATTTATTTTTTTGTAATTGCAATTTTTTCGGTTCATATATAGGATTGCTTAGGTGCATTGGATGGGACACATGTACCGGCATGCATAAAGGAGTCAGAAGCAGCCCCATATTTTAGCCGAAAGGGTTGTCACACCCAGAATATTTTGGCGGTATGTGATTTCAATATGTGCTTTGTGTTTGTGTCGTGCGGGTGGGAGGGCAGCATGCACGACAGCCGGGTTTTAAGCAACGTAACGGAGGATCCACAATACAATTTTCCAACTGCAACTGATGGTACGTACATCTGAATCCACAATACAATTGTTGTAGCATAGTTCTTTTTTGGTAAACATCTGTATGTAAATAACGATGTAAAGATATATTTAGAATTCAATGCATGACAGGGAATTTTTTTTGCAAGACAAGAAAATATGTATCAAACAAGCTCAACATAAAGGTAATATCCATCATTATATGCAAATATAATTAACCTCAGTAATATATATGTCAAAATGTATCAATTTATTTTCTATCACTGTATTCCCATTATAAATTTGATTTATGTTACCATTGTAATGAAAAACAAAATTTGATGAACCACTGACCATGTGGTAATTTATATATGACAGTTTTTACAATGTCCATGATAAACTAGTATTGTTATGTTCTTATTGTTGGTTATGGGGAAATAAAAGAAAAATGTACGGAAGAAGTGCCCTTTCATGTGAACATTGATGACGAGTATTATGTCATTTACATGTGCACTTTCACAGGTCGCTATTACCTTGTGGATAGTGGATACAACAACAAGAAGGGCTTTCTGACACCATACAAAGGCAACAGGTACCACCAACTGGAATTTCAAGGGCACAATTCACGGAACCGTGATGAGTTGTTCAACCGCGCGCACTCATCTTTGCGGAGTGTGATTGAGCGTACCTTTGGCGCTTGGAAGTCACGGTGGAGATTTCTTAAAGACATGCCTCGATTTGATTTTCGTAAAGTGCAGGTGCCATTGGTTGCAATGTCCATGGCTTTACATAATTTCATACGCAGAAATAGTGTGGACGACTAGATTGTTGTTGCTGTCAACAGTGTGGCCGAGTACAGATACGCAGACATGCCTGACCGGGACGATTTGGCTGCCCTTGACGATGCGATGATACCTGGAGACGATGACGTTGAGATGGCGCAATTGCGGGCGCGTATCAGGGTAGAGTTAGTTGCAATTTGGTGAAATGCTCGTTAGGTAGACATGTTATGTGATGCATGTCATCACTATGTTGTGTTGAAATTAATTGGAGACATTTATTTACGTACATAATTGGTTAGCAATTATGTATGACCATGTATGTTACTGTTTTTGTACAATTATCGAATACTAACTTCGTTATGATTTTAAGTTGCTTATGATTTCAGGATGCTTACCAATTACGGTTTGATTATTACTTAATTTTTTTTGGTTTATTGGGTCATGTTTATCATTTTATATTTTTGGTAACGTTTACGATTAGGTTGGTTATATTTTTATATTTTCATAGCAATCAATTATAATTGGTTAGCAATTAGGTTGCTTAATTTTTTTCAAATATTTTTAATATTTATTTTCGTTATTTATGACAATGGGATCACACACATTATAATTGATCAAAATTTAATTAAAAAAATAATTGAATGAAAAATTTAATTGGACAAAAATAATTGGGTAAAAACCTAATTCGGAAAACTTTGAAAAAGAAATGGAAATTATTAAAAAAGGCTTGTACTTAGCACTTATTTGACTTGTTTGCATTCCAAGTTGATTAATTCATGACATGACTCAACTTGAAATTCTAAAGATAATTACAATGGAGAACTAGATGTAAATTTAAGTGTGTATATGGGGAAGTGTAAATGAAAGATTGTGAGAATATTAAGTAATACTTACACTCTCTTATGTGTTAGTAATTATTTTTTTCTTCTCCCATTTGAACGTAATTTTCCTATCACAACTCAAATAGTTTTCTACTCTTTCTTTACTAGGGATGGTAATAGAGGTTAATGGGATGAATATTAATTCTCCATTTCTATTTCTCTATAATTATTTTTTCTCATTTTCCATTTCTCATTCCCCATGGATACTACTCTCCCCATCTCCTAATGGGTTCAGATTTTTTTCAACCCAACTTAACCTTTTTTTTTTTTTTAAGATTCACAACTAAAGCTAAATGTACATTCAATCTTATTTTATTTTATTTGACTCAACAACAAAATCAAATACACATTAATTAACATTGTCACATTATTCTTGTCAAATTTTATGTATATTTAGAATTTTTTAATTTATTTAGAAAAATTCTATTTCTACAAAAAAGAAATTCGATCTTCTTTTTTAATTTTTTTAATTTTATGTATCTCCTTCTTCTCTTCATTAATTGATCTTCGATAATTTAAAGGTGAGTTGTTGCTCTTGTTTCCATCTTATTTTTTTAAAAAAAAATTTATTTGCATTTATGGACTAAATTTTCTTGTTTCAATATCTCCTACAATTGTTTTATTGGATTTCTCTCTGATTTGATGGTAACCTTAGATTGAATTTCTCAATTTTCATCTTAACTAGTGATTACCTTAAATGAAATTTTGTATATTTTTGTCTTTAATTTTCATGTTTTGGTTATGATTAATCACGCATTTTTTATCGATAGTCACGGTCTTGTTGCCGCTAAATTGTCGCCATCACAAATCATCGTTGCTGTAGTGAGAGGATGAGAGAGAGTAAGAATTAGAACTCTAATTGTAAACAGAGTAATGAAAACATATAAAGAAATTATTTTCCAATGTAGCTAAAAAAAAAAAAATACATATAAAGAAATTAGTGATATCCCATTCTCAACCCATCCCCAATAAAAATTTAAAAAAATACCACTTACCTAACCTGATGAACAAGAAAAAGAAAAAAATCCATATGTTTAAATTGAGTCTCCGTAAATATCATAGAATAAGTTATTCACTGTATGATAAATAAATAAAAAAAGTTATTCATTGTGATCCGTATCTCTAGGTGTTGGATAGCTGCAGCCTCGGGACAGAGTGGCCTCCCTTAGCGTTTGTTTCTATTTTGTCGTTCCTAACTTTTGTTTCGATTAGCTACTGCATAGTCAAGTTGTCAGTTGTTCCCTTATGCTAGGTTGTTGGAACTGCCTTTAACTAGGTTGTTGCCTTATGGCCTTTTGTATAGGGGTGCAACTCGGGCGGGCTCAACCCGAGCAACCCGAGTCCAGTCTGAGTTTTTTTAGGGCTTGGGCAACTATATCTTGTAATCTGGACGGGCTTGGGCAGATTTTTGTTACCCGAATTACAATTCGGGCCGGGCTTGGGCAGAACCAATGGCCAACCCGAGCAACCCGAACCCGAACCCGAATTCAATTTAATATATTATATAAATTATATAATATATAATATATAATATATATATAATTTAATAAATTATGTAATATATAT